GGAGACCGGAGAAGAAATCATGAAAACTACCACAAAATTGCAAGAAACAAAAGGGATTAGAGTGAACCAAGCCAAATTAAAGCTAAAGAGATGAACTTGAAGCTGGTTCATACCAAAAATCCCGAAGGATTCACACCCGGCAGAACAGCGGACAGACAAAGGGGAAGAAACAAAGCAGATCTGAAATTTCTGGGTTTAAAGAGAGTTCTAAGCCCCAAATCTTGTTATTTAACAAGAAAAGAAGAATAAATTTCAAGCTTTGTCACCAATTTTCTCAAAGGGGATGAGTCGGTGGCTTAGGGGAGCTTCGGTCGACAGAGGAGAAGAAAATGAAGATGAAGAAGAGCAAAACACGTGGCTGAGGATAAAAATATCAGCCTTGATCCTTATCCTAATTTCTTTTCTTTTTAGTCCTTAAACTTTGAAAATGTTTACCATTTAGTTCATTAATAGTATTTCTTCACAATTAAGTCCCTTACTCACTTTAATGCTCTAAAAATTTTGGGATATTACAATAATGAAAGTGAAACTCTATCTCTCTCCATCCCCCTCCCTTTTATTAAATTTTTTTACCAAAAAAAAGAGTGCTTTTTTCCTCTTATTCTCTTCTTTTATTCTCTTCTTTTTTTCCTTTCGACTTCTTCGATGCAAACAAAATGTAAAAATTCAACTCTTTTTAACACTTCATATTCACAGGAAATAAGGACTCCAGCGGCATGCAAGGCTAAATCATTTATAAGATTTGGAATATCTCTTATATGTTTAATAATAAAATAATTTCATTTTTGTTGTTTAAAAAGAATCAGTTATAATTTCATTTTTGTTGTTAAAAAAAAAAAATCAGTTATAAGATCATGCGCGGGTCACTGGAGGTAGAACCCCGTTTAAAGCAAGGGTTAGGACTTTTGGGCCAGGCGTAGGGATCTGAACAAGTCTTTAATTTATCTGGTCTGGTATTATAAATCAGCTTACTGTTTTAAAATTTTCGTCTTATCTCTTATATCTCTATATAATGAAATTGAAAAATAACAATAAAAGAAATAAAGTTTGAAAATTTATATTTTTTGTGCCTGATAAAATTAAGAAATAAAAAATAATTAGTGTATTCTTTGATCTAACATATTTTTTATATAATATAATATGTTATATAATATAAATATAGTGAATTTTATTTATTTCTATATTTTATATACATGAATTTATTTAAATTCATTTATTATCTTTTATTTTTATTTTATTTTAATCGATTCTATAAACT